TTACCATCTTAAACGCCCTCTTTGCATTGTTCCCTCTCTTCATCTTCTTGCTCTTCATAATCTTTCTCATCATAATCACAATCTTTACATGATAACTGCCATCATAATTTCTACTTATCTACCACTTTTTTCTTCTACTTTTGAGGCGTCTTCCCACGACTCCTCTTTTGTCCTTTCCGTCTCATCCTTTACCTTCCTCTCGCTGCTTCACCCCACTTCTGTCTGAGCTATTTATATTGCCTGGCAGAACAACAAAGTTCTTCAACTGGACTGGAGTTTGGAGAGGCTCACTCACTGCTTCCCCAGTTTAATCTGGTTAGCTACAGCGGAAGACAACGCAAAAGGACAATCCTGTGCCCTTGTTCAGAGAGCCAACATGAGGTTTGAGTCATGTCTTACTAACAGCTTGTGTTCTACATTTCCTACAAAAGGACAGAAACCCAAAACACTGCAATCATGTAAAAATAGACTCAATAGTTCTTTACATGGAATCTTGTTTCCTGGAAATCCCATTTACACAATACGACGATTGAGAAGCAAACATAATTGCGTTCAGAGAAGTGAGCTTGAAACTGGGAGGTGTTCGGTTCAATGCCTGGATGCAGGATAAATCTGACAACAACCAAAACTCATCTAATTTCCGCACAAAAAGTACTTAAGCACCTTATTCGTTCACATCCCTCCCCCTAAACCAGTGGGGCTCTAACTAAGAGCCAAGTGTCTGGAGTCTAAACTTACACACAGTTCCCTCACAAACTTATATTGGTTCATCTTTATCCATTACATGCAATAACCTTCTAATTCCATATCCTCATTACCACCACTGAGGTGCCCTTGAGCAAGGCCCTTCACCCCAACAGCTCCAGCATATGAGACTGTGGTTGTACTGGGCAGCTTCCAGGTGTTAATGTGTACACTGAACACATTTTATTTATTTTAAAAAGGTATAAAAAGATTCACTGGCAGTGTACCATAAAGATGTCATAGGCAGGTGGTCGTTCAGAGTTTAAAGGTCATATATATATATACGACATATAGATATCACACTAGAGCGACAGCATCTCAGACCAAAGCAGCGCCCACTACAGCAAACCAGACTCCATCATTCGTCATTTTAGCTCGTATATTATCATAAAAAACACTATTCAACCGATCAAAAACCAACTGACTGCCATGTAATGTTAGATAATCCTTGGGGACTGATGTGTCTGTCAAAGTACATACATTAAAAGTGCTTGTTGTTTCTGCCACTGACAGACTCAGGTTGTTATTGTCAGTGTCTGACAGCATTATAGAAAGGATCCCTACAGAGATAGACCTTTAGTTTAACCACAAACAGCCGTAATATCACTATCACTCTCCACCAGACTCCAGAGACAAAAACACTAATTTTACCTTCAGATCATCGTAACTTCATTCAAACTGGACAGAAACAGAATTAAACTCACTAAAAGCGTCTCTGTTAGTGTTTCCAACAATCACCAACTCTGGTTTGGTGGAAATAAATCCTTAATTCACCGACGTAGATGATAAAAACAGCAGTTTCAGTCGGAGCAGACCGGCTATGGAAACAAACCACAGAGAGGCTGCGATACAACACAGGCAGAGGGAGAGAGACACCATGTGACTCTGTGTCTGTATATAGAGAATAGCTGTTTGCTGATATATTAACGTTTTAAATCTAATTTATAACCTTTAACTGTTTTGGTTTAATGGATCTGGTTCAGTCTCACCAAGCTAATCAGGCTATGGGTGATGGAGTGGACAAAATAATCGAAAAGCTCTGTCAATATAACACATTACAATTCAACAGCACCACAAACTGCAGCCTCTGAAACAGTTGAATCAACTCTCTAAAACAACAAAGAATCATTACAACCTTCACAAAGAGAGGATTTGTTGAAGGATTGTTGTATTGGAGTAATTTGAGTCATTTTATTTTCCAGAATCCAACTTTTTTTGTACACATGGGGTTGAAACCTCTCATCAACAAATCACAGCTGGACTTTATCTCCGTGGCTTCCCTCTGAGAATAATTGCCTAAACTCATTACACATTCAAACTGGAAGAGTCATCGCTTAGAGTAGTAGGTGTCGTCCACGCACCTCCTCTGGCTGTGAGACATTCAGCCTTTAAATCATCCAATACAGGCCAGTGCAGCTAAACCAGGTGGATTTGCAAAACATCATGAAGGACGCGGCTCTCATCCTGAGCCGTGGAATATTTGAACAACAAGACAATGGATAAATACAACAACATGGGAGCTTTAAATCTGTTACTGACCACGGGATTCATTTCCTCTGACCAATCCGGTAAGAGCATGTGTAAAATAAAACACAGTCTGTGTAAGAATGGGCTCAATATCCCCACGGGAGGATGGGATTCAGTCTCACCGTGCAGCATCTTTATAGCAAATTACATTCTTCCACAGGTAATGAGCAAATGACAAATTCTATTGCAGGGACGCGAGGAGGCAGAGTCTTCACGCTGTGGTGTATTAATCTAACATGCAACATTGGCAGAAAGATGTTTTTTAATCTATTTTCCAGCCTTCAGATCGGCGTGGCGAGGCGTGAGGATGACGCACGCAGAGTTTCGCCGCATCGCTAAAATAAATAAGAGCGGATTAAGAGGGGATGATGGATAGATGGATGCAATAACAAAGACAGCACATTGAAGAAAGTCAGCCAAACGTCCAGAGTGAACCCGATATACTCGACTGAGCTGATCGACGTACTCCATCCTCCTCTTCCCTTTAGCCTAAGTGGTGGTAGATTTACCTAACCCCTGTCTTGACTTGGCCTCAGTCCCGTGGCACCTGGGCAGCAATAAAAACAGGTAAACAATCGGGTGGCTGGAGCATGGCAATAACAAAGTGGGACTAAAGGGGCTGTGTGACTCATTAAGTGTCAATAGCCCCTCAAATCCCCCCCCAACCACACACACACACACACACACACACACACACACACACACACACACACACACGGTTTTTACTGAACTGGACTCGGCACCCCTGAGGGCAGTCTGAGAGTTTGAAGAGCTCAGGAGTGGAAGCAAACAGCGGAAATGAGATATTGAAATGCAATAGCTTCATTTCCAGTTTAAAGGTGCAATCAGAAACATTTTTACTGTTCCGTGCCACAAAACTGAGTTAAATGTCTTGGAGGGGACGGGAGGGGGGAGAGTTTCATAGAGCTGCTGATCAGAAACCATGACTCAAAAGATTATTTCTATTTCAGGTGCTGAAATTTGAAGCTTTCAAAACTCTCTTTCTGGTCTCAAACAAAATCTCCTCCACTCTGCTACAGTGCTTCTGGTTCAGGCGTCACTCATCTCAGGAATATCTAAAAAAAACTAAAAATCCATTCTTTCTATTCCAGCCAGATTCAGAAACATTTTGTCATCAGCAGAGTTGATAACTGTAACGGTCAGTGTACTCTGCCTTTAAAGGAGAAAACCATTTCTAATAATAATAATAATATGGGAACAAAAAACAAGAGAATGGGCTGTTTATCCTTCAGCAGCACCGGTAACACAGCTGTGTTTTAACAGTGGTTAAAGCTAAACAAATCTGTCCAGGAACAATTCAATTCTTTATTTAAAAGTCTATATTTCTACACTTTTCTTCGTTTGGACTTGGAATCCACAGCTCGAGGGACGACTCGTAGCCACAGCTATAGATGTTCGGAAATATACAGAAGAGAAGGCGCCAGGTCAGGACACAATGTAGGAGATTAATTGACTAAATGTTTTTTGGAGAATGTAAGAATCACTTTAAGACTAACAACGATACAATAAAAATGCTAAAAAATAATGAGGAACAAGGTCTATCAACCAGATTTGACTGAACATCCCCCCCGTGTGTGTGTGTGTGTGTGTGTGTGTGTGTGTGTGTGTGTGTATGTTGTATGTCTGTATCTATATTATTACACTTTCTACCCCTTTATCACTCTGTAGAGCGCTATAAATGAATTGCTTATGTAAGAAGATTGTGCTCTAAAATTAAACCTGAAACGTAAATCAGCCTTTTGCTCTCAAGCCAAATGAGCAAATTAGGATGTTGTACTCTCTCATTTAACATTTTCCGTTATTTATCTGCACAAATGCGCTCACAGATTGACCTCTACTGGGAAAATGTGCTTTTTTCTTTATCACCACGAAAGGTAAATGTCAGATTCACTTTGTGTCCCTCTGAAATACCAATCTCCGATCATTATTGCTGTCACCAACTGTTAAATGTTGCTCCGGCTCCAGGTTGGATTTGAATATCCGTGTCGGGGCTGATTGTTACAGTGTGTGAACCAAAGATCTCCTCAAACAGCTCGTTCATTTAAAAAATACCACAACCCAACTCAACTAAGACATAAGGGTAATGTTTAGTTTTTAAAAATAGTGAGTTCCTGTAGTAGACTGCCGTGTTTCCGAGAAATGTGTCTTTTTAGATTCCAAAACGACTCTTTACCGACTGCAACAATGTCGCCGCACTCTTTTTCTTGTTCCACATTATCCCCATCTGTTACTTTTACGGGAATAGTACACTTGTACGACTTCTCAGTTTCTTTTCTGAAGTACACAATAAACTCTATAGTTTTGAAAGAAAATAGTGTGGGTGTGCGCGCAGGTGCAAAGATGCATTCTGGGTGGGGCATGAGCAACCGGAGCGAAATTGGAGCGAGAGATAAGGCTCCACTCCACCTTTTAAAAACATAGCCGATCCTCGCTCAACACAAAATCCTTCCGCTCCGCTCATATGCTCTGTAGCATGACATGGTTGGTACCAATGGATGCGTTAAGTCATCTAGTTTCATATGACACATGTTCACTAGAGCTTTAAAATAGAGCCCGCTGAAAGACAGCGTGGAGTCAGAGAGCTTGTGGTCACTGCAGCTGAAATGTCACTTGAGGATGTGCACGGTTTCATGTAAAAGAGACAAAAAGATTTGGATTTGTCAGCATTTAAATGAGCTTTTCCAGGGTTTTCTACGTTTTGTACTCACCACTGGAGCAGTCCAGTCCTCCCCAGCCGGGCTCACACTGGCAGGTATCAGGAGAGACACAGCGTCCGTGGGCACACTCTTCAGTGCACAGCGCTTAGGAGAAAGAAAGACACCAAGATTAATATCAAAGCCTTCATTAAATCCACCTGGGTCTCTCTGTTGCTGTATTCTTAAATTACCCAGATGAGATGAGCTCAGTACACCTTTACAGTAGCTGAGCTTAAATCAAACAGGTTGAGTTCATAAACGGTGAGCAGGTGTGTTCATCCAGCTGCAATCATGATGTGTATTTGTGTACATATTCGAGAAGTTAAAGCTTCACCTTTTCTATATTTTTTCTCTCTTTTTTTTTTCATTGTGGAAAAGTACCAACATACAGCTTTTATGTTTGACTGCAGTCAAAATAATTCAATGTATAAAAATTGCAGTCTGTTATTTAAAACTACAACTGCTCATTACATTTTCTTCAGAAGACTAGTTTGCTTTTTAAACATCAATGTTTGATGCTTATAATCTGTAATCTATAAACACCTTATTGTATAATTTCTTTACATTTCTCTGTATGATTGAAGAGTATGAATTTTTCATTTAACAAATATAAAACATAGATTTTTTATTATTTAATAAAATTTTCCGTCTGTATTTGCCGACCTGAGAATGAGAACGGGTTGTGAAGTGTGTAGGAGAAACTACGGTAGCTATGAAACTCGCAAAAAATGCAAAAGGTCCTATTTACAGCAAGTTTGGTTTGTCCTTGATTATATAAAAACATACCTGTGAATTTTATTTTCCATTTCTGCCAATAGATCCTTCTCAATGTTACATACTGGACCTTTAACACGGTGTAGAAACCTAAGATAATGAACATTTAGTACATTTAGAAATCTTTTGAATCACTATGTTTCAATTTGATGAAGAAACAGGTACTTTTTTTATATTTATGACTCAATTTAAATGTTTTTTTCAATTATTATGGTTTATTGACTTATAGGTTGTACAGATTATATGAATATGAATCATTTCAAGATACTTCAAGTAATTATGTCACAATAAGCAAAAATACCAATTTAGGCACTGAAAAGTTTCTATTGCAGATTTAAAAGGGTTAAAGGTTCAGCCTCCACTAACTTCATATATTATCACATATTTGATGCTACAGTCACACATATGTGAATGTAGGTGAGTCGCCTGCTGAGGCAAAATGTGGGCAGTGCAGGATGTCCCGTACACTGAAATCATGGAGGCCAGACTCTGTTTTATGTGTCAATCACATCAGAGTTATTATAGTTTTAATCTTATTTTGTTTACAGTTCAGTTTAGTTTCAGTTAGACTCCAGAGTGGGTTTAGTATTAGTTGTTTTTATTATGATAGAGGGGGATTTATCAGTATAGGTATTACTTACAAACATCCCAGTCTCAATATGCACCAACACCTGCTCACTGTTGACAAATCTATATATATTTTATATTAATATATATTTCGATTTTAGTTAATTTCATCAAGTACAGAATAGTTCTCTAAAGTCTAGTTTCTGTTTTTATTTCGGTTAACTAAAATCTTTGAACCACACACGTATTTGCTGTTGGTCCAATGTTGATCTCCACGAGAGGCAGAGATGCGATTCGCCACCAGAAGCAAAGTTTTGTTTTAATCTGCATTAAGTTTTACAGACATTAATTATGTCAGGATGAGACAGACGATATTGAGTTGTTACACTTTAATAACAAACTATCTGCATAAATCTATGTGCAATTATTTGTGTATATTCATCAAAACAATCTTCAATTAAAAGTACAGAAACTACTTGTTCTACTAATACTTTGTATTCAAGAGAAAAAATTAAGTTTAAGCAGCTTGAGGCTAAAATCGACTTCTCCTGCCCCTCTAGTTTGACCTCAGGGCAGAAATTAATCGTTTTTCAGGCCCGAACAACCTCGTATTTAGTCCATTATGTTTTCACACCTACTATAAAACTCGAGTAAATGCATTCTGTTACAAGCTTGACAGTTTTTCACATCCAACAAAAGGCTAAAAAACAACTGAACTCACTCATTAACTTAACATGTAGGAGAAAATGTATGTGTGGACTTTTTAAAATGCAGTTTTCATATTTAGTGTTTTCACAGAGGCAGCGTGCAGTGTGGCCGTCTGTGTCTGACTGTGTGTCTGATTGTAATTGGTGCAGTTATTTGCGATTCTAAGGGCAGTATTATTTTCGACCTGGCTTTTATTGTTTAAGCTGAGCGTGAGAGAAGATTACGTGTTCATTTTCACTTATTATCGTGCGCTCACAGTAAGAAGTTTCCGCCCTAACTGATTGGTAGAGGTTGTCAGGGCAGCATGCCACCTGAGGAGTCCTTGCATCTCCGCTATATGTTATTAGTAAAAAAATAAGAATTATATTGAGAATCTTTATTAAAGTATTTGTTCTACAAGTTGAGCAGGAAAAACAGTCAAACTGTGACCGTAAAAGACTGTAAACTCTAAACAGGTTAAATACAGTTTCTGTAACAGTAAAACGCTGTCATATATGATGACAAAACATTTATTTATATGGAATTTTAAAGGAATTTATATGCAATAAAGTCATTTTTTTATGGGTTAGGGTTAAGGACACGGTCAAATGCCTGACCCCCAAAGCGGGGCCTGAAAGTGCACGGTCTTTCCCCCAGAAGTCCCCACCCCCTCAGAACCTGGCCAACCCTAATAACAAATATAATAAGTTCATAATAAAATTGTTTTGATAAAATAAATGAACTTAAAGTGTGTGTTTCTATCACTTAGAATACACAAAATCAAACAAAACTAAACTAAAAAGTCAGAAACTCTAAGACCCCAAAAGTTCGAAAACTTCGAAGTCCGGAGTTCGAAGCTTTTTAGAAATAAAAGGTTTTTAAACAATATAAAAGTGTTTCTTCACTTTTAAATATACAGAAAACAAACAAAGAACACTGGAAAGTCCGATACTTAAAAACCCACAAAGTTTGGAAGACTTCAGACAGTAAATAGAAATAAGAATAAAATAAAATTTACTTAAATGTTTTCAAATAAAGTCAAAAAGGTGCCAAAACCGCAACGTTTCGACCTGAAAAGGTCATCTTCAGGCGAAGGGCACAAGAAAAGCAAAAGAAATGGCTTGCAGCTGCTTCTGTGGAGATGTTCACTCTCCGAGAGTCAGAGCCACAATGAAATATAATTCCTTTTTACCCTATTATTATTATTTTACCCTAACCCTTACAGATTGGACAGAGAAGAAAACCACCGTAATAACTCATAGCAAAAACTTTTTATACTGCATTCATGTGGCAAAACTGTTTCTTTTGATGGTAAAAACGTGTGTATATATATATATATATACGGCAAAATATGCAATAAAACTCAAACTGTAAAATCAACAATAATGATATCCTTTTACCGTGATAGTAGAAAAAGTTCTACAGTAAAAAAAATTTTTTACCGTAAAAATATATATTTTTATACAGTGTAGATTCAGGTGTAGGCTAGTTTAAGTTAGCTAAAATATTGACTTTAAACAAAACTGATTTAACTGTTTATTTTACTGTGCATTTCGGTCAATTTAAAACGTGTGTGTAGCTGCATTTATTTACACTTAAGTGATTTGTCCTTTTGTTTTTAGGCAGATTATTTGGGAAGTGATGAGAATGCACTTTATTTGTGTTTTTATCTTAAAATTTACCCCCAAATGGTTTCACTTTCACTATGCACGCCTACGTTGCTCATACCTGTCAACTTTTAGATTTATAATACAGGAGGTATTTCCAGGATGACACAGATCACGTTTCATAGAGGAGACGAGCCTCGGTTTGTCACTGTTAACTACAGTAGTTCATACACTTCACTGATAAACCTCAGAATAGTACATAAGGAAAACATAATGATCAAAGAAATGATCACGGACAAAAAGGACCTGTATCCGGAAAGATCCAATGGTATCCAAGTTTATGCAAATGTATCCAGATCTGTATAACATATCATATAAAAATAAAAATAAAATCTGTCAAAATCTTCTGGATGTGTATCTGTCCACATCCAAACATATAAACACCTTGGATGCCATATTTTTGTGCATTCATTTCAGTGGTATGGTGATTATTTGTAATAAAGTTCTAGGGTCGGGCAAACTGCAGGAGTTTCCCAGGAGAAACAACACAATGGGAGGGAGCCAGGAGATGGCCTTGAAATATGGGAGAAACCCGGGAAAACCAGGAGCGTCGGCAGGTATGACGTTGGTAATTTAGTGCTCCCCTGCTATAAGCCCCGTGCCCCCCTGTTAGAGCATTAATAGTACACAGGTTTACCATTATTATGGAGAAGCACAAAAGCTTTATTTGTAAGATTTATTTGAATGTTTATATATGTTCCCAATTCTGAAAGCTACGACCATGTGTGAACAGAATATATATATATAATATATCTCACGCTATTTCACAAGTTTTTCAGATGACAGATTTGCAAAAAGGCCACAAACATAATGGAAAACAGGCCGTAACCCTGTGCACTGAATGAGTGCCCATTTTTCATTTTTTTAACCTTAGAGAGTCAGTGTGGTCATTGCGGCTGTGCTGTGTCATTGTTTCAACTGTCTGACGAATGAATATATCAATGAGGCACAGATTAATCTATCTGCAGTACAAATTCTGAGTGGCTGTTAATATTTATGATTTCACCGACCTTACAAAATCAACTTTACTTACATATGGTAAGATGCTAGAGCCGGTCTCCTGATGGTGTGTGAGGCATATTATCTACCTCGTACAGCAACCAGATAAAGGCAGCACTGACATCTTCATTTTCATCTTAAGCCTTTCCAACTGCTGCAATATTTCATCATGACACGACCTTACAGTTGAGAGCTGTCACGCACTATCTGAAGGTTCAAAACAAACGACTCTATCACGGCGTAACAAACGATGCAGTGTTTTCACGGGGCCGCTGCGTCATTATCTTGTTCAGCGATTAGCTCAGAGGCCAGAGGTCGCTGGTCGGTGTGAGGAAGAGGAGGAACGGAGAAAAAGTAGAGACTCCACCGACTTCAAAGAGTAAAACGTAACACTTTAAACCCAATGTCAGA